GAAAGGAGAAATACTTAAAAATTGTGAGCAACTTAAAAATATAACTCTTTAATGCAACAGGGAAAACTGAGTCAGTGAATATAAAAATAAAATACTGCCTCACCTTTGTAACTTGCAGGTCACCAATGTTTAATTTTAGCGCACCAATGGCTGTTTTACATAGAATCACAGCTTCATCGCTGCTTTTCACCTACAATCAATATAAATGCCACATCATAAAATAGCTGTTCTATATTGATACATCTGTATTAAACAGTAAAAATATCAGATTAAAAATCCTAAATCTGACTATTGTCCTTGTCTACTTTCTTACTGAAGAAAGCATGCAAGTAGATCTCAGTGTGATTAATGAATCCTATAGTCACATTTTCAAATCTGCACTATTCAAAATATGTCTATGGAAAATAGGGTAATTGGTTCCAGTTGAAATAGGCAATTAAAATTTTTAAAGCTTACGCTTATTACTGAAAGACAACTAATTCTCACTTTATCAACTGTTACTGTTGAAATTTACAAAGAGGCTGAATGAATGGTAGTTACAACTGCTCCTAAAGTTATGGTTGTTGCAACCTCTGCAGTCACATAATCAAAATTCAAGCACTTGGAAGCCTATCCACATTTACAACTGTAGCACATGCTTCCACTCCTCCAACCTCCCTCTCTCCCCTCCATCTATGTTTTTTGGATACCCTGCACTCTGCTGCCACCATCCATCATCTTCCTCCTGCTGCTGACAAATCGTGCCAGGCCTGGGCAGTTGCTGATCCTTCACAAGGCCTTCACAATAGCCACCTATCTTCCCCTCACATCTCTGCCCTTTTGGCTGCCATGCATAACCTTCACAAAGGGCCAATAACTCCCTTGGCCAGATGTACCTCATCATGAAGAGGAGGAGGAGGAGGGTGAAGATCAGCTGGACCAATAGAGGTAGACTGTGAGTGCAGAGTGGCTAAAAGGGCAGAAATGGAGGGGTGGGAGGACAGATGAGGACTGAAGCAGAGGGGAGCTACCAGAAGGCTACCAGAACTTCTGTCACTAAAAACCTTGCAGAACTCATTATGTGGCACAGTCGTGTGATATTTTCCTAACAACCACTTCACTTAAATAAATTCTGTCCCCAATTAGGAAAGAAATCTACCTTTATTATATTAGTCAAAGGGGATAAACCTTTATCCAAAGCATAGCTGCTATATAAGTTATTCAAAATTAGTCTCTTGAGTTTTCCTCAAACAGAACTTTTCTTTTCTCCATGTTACACACAAGCAATTAACGTCTAAAACCCCAACAGCAACTTGCACTAACTGAAATGTGACCTTTTATCAATTTATATTTTGTACTAAATTGAGTATTGCACTATTTGCAACCTACCTGTACATTGGCTAGCTAGAATAGCAAATGTCAAAAACTAATTGAATTAATAAATTATATATAACTGTCTATTGAGTTATTTCCTTACCTTTTCACGGGTCTTTTCCAGAAAAGTAAGAGCAACATTAGGATCTAAAGAAATGCATACCAGAGGCAACATTAAGGATTAGTTTAAAAATATATGCCATGCCTATCACTTCAGCATTAATCCTTTAAAATTATATTATGTACAATGAAACATATTAATATAAAACATATGAAATATAAAATGCACTTCCATATTAATCTTTTAAAAATGAATTATATACAGTGAAATATATTAATATAAAACATAAAATAAATATCAAAGAACTTCAGGCATACTTTTTGTATCTCTTAATTGGAATTCTCACAAATTAAAGGAGATTTATGGCATAAGTAAAAGTGGGATCTCTTGCATACCATTTCATCCTATACTGAAAGAACTGTAAACATAAGACAAAAATCCTACAAGTAAATGAGCAATAAAATAATCTTTCAATCTGAATTGAATACTTTATTTGGCCAAGTGTGATTAAACACACAAGGAATTTGTTTCCAGTACAGAAAAGCAACAGAATAAAATACCAATAAATGCCAATAAGAGAGATGACTAAATAAGAATAAATAATACTACAGCCACACTACGTGAATAAATATAAACTTTACACAGCACTGTGAGAATTGGGTGTTCAGCAGAGTAATGGCATGAGGGGGAAAATGTCCATAAAAAACTGCTTTGAATCTGTACTTCCATAATTTAGCACTTAGCTTATTAATACCATCAGTGGGCAAAATACTCAGTTTGAAAAGATTTTTTTGAAAATGTTCAAATAATGTTTGTCATCTTGGAATACTTTTGAAATAATAAAAAGTTGCACTAAGGTCCAAACAGTTATTCCAGATTTGAAATGGTCTACATAACACAAATACTCCTTTGCCATACTTGACATAGGTATTTCAAAGTCAAGTAACAGTAAGTATCCATAAAAGGCTAAATATATAGATCAGGGGTGTCAAACTCACATCATCACAGCGGTGTCACGTGATCTATCAAAACTTTTTTTTTTTTTTTTTGCTAAATTGGGTGTGGCCAGCACGAAACATATCTGGCCTGTGGGCTGGAAGTTTGATAGCCCTGATATAGATGTTTTCCACTCCCAACTGAGTTAAGGGGTCAGCTGCTATTAATTATTGAAAGTTACTGTATACCATTTCCAGCTTCAAAATTTCAACTTGAATCACTGTCTTTAAGAAAATAACTATGTGTAAAAGGAGTTTACCTGTCATTTGCCGTACCACATGAAGAATGATTTCTACCAGGGATAAAGGATTCACCCTGAAATAAAGAGGAATTACTATGAATCAATGAAAAATATAGGCTTTTTAAAAGTCTAACCATGTGAAAAAAAAATTACCTGTGTTCAAACTCACTGATAAAGTTCTCATAAAGCTGTAAGCCAAAAGAAAAAGATAATTTTAATAACGCAGATGCATACACGCTAAGTACCATATTTTTTGCATTATAAAATGCTCCAGACCACCTAGTTTTTGGGGAGGAAAACAAGAAAAAAATAATCTGCCTCCCAGAAATTTGCCTCCTTGCAGCAAACAACCTGGTCAGCTTCAACACAGCCTGATTTAGCATGAGCAGCTGATCGGCAGTTGGATCGGTCTTCCGGAATACCCCCAATCAGCTGTTGCAGGCTGCAGGGCTTGCCACCACCCATTGCCGCCTCCACATGCCCCATTTTCAGCCTCCGCATGTCCTTTTTCCAGCCTCTGGCAGCAACTATATCCCCACCACCTGGAACAGGCCAAAAACAGGACTTGTGGAGGCCAAACAGTGGGGGCTGGCAGGTGGGCATGGTTTCAGCAACATTCACTCTAAGATGCACAGACATTCCCCCCTCCCTTTTTTGGGAGTGGGAGTGCATCTTATAGTGCGAAAAATACAGTAACTGCAAACATTGCTTCTGAGCACTTTCTTGACAATAGAAATAAATCTGAACAAAAAGGGAAGAAAAATGAGTTCTATGAACAGTAAAGAGACAATATAGTGGGTGGAAATCTTTTTCATCAACAGCTGAAACCTACAAAATTTAAGTGTCTCATCAAACTAAGGATAGTATCCCATGTGATTATCTAGCTTATTTTAAAAGTCATCCAAGTAAGAAAGTACACCCCCATCTCCAGGCATTCAACTGGTTTGCCCTTAATAGAAGATTCATTACATGCTGCATCCATACCTTTAATGAACTGAAACCTGTTAGATATTCTTCTAAGACAGGAACCTAGTTTTGTATCCCATTCTAAATGGTATCATTTCAAGAATTTGAGAGTATCAAGTTCTCCAATAGCAAGGGAAAATATATCCATTTGATTCTTCGCTGGATTTGTTTTGAAAATCACTACAAACTTTTTATTTTTGTTATGTAACTTCTGCAGGGCTATAGTTCATTACAGTGAAATTTCATGCCATTCTACAGCAATGTGACCTGTGTTATAACCCTAAAAAGTAAAATCAAATTACTAAAATGGGGTTCTTTTGGATGTATAAAATTACAGTACTGAAAACAACGTATTGCAAATAAATCGATAACTACTCTTTGCATTTGTTAGGGATGATTCTTAAACAAGCCATTCTAATTGACACGCATTTAATAATACTAGTACACATACCTTGATAAGACCATCTCCTTGAGCAAAGCAGGGATCTTGCACAAAATCCAAAACCTGCAAGGTTAGTTGGTGCCAGAGTCTGTAAGATAGACAAAAGAAATAGCAATTTTCAATATTGACAAAATTTATACATGAGCAAATCTAAACTGAAAATTAACTCTATTACCTATTATATATAGAATTATTCAAAATAATTGTTTGGATAATAATCAAACAAACTTAAAGAACACTGATTTTAAAATACCAAGAAAATGTTGCTTAAAATAACCAAAATAATGTATCAGCAATACTTCCTATGAAAAGTCCATCATTAAGAAATATCAGGTGGCAGGTTTTCAGAGAGCTGTTGCCATCTAAATAATAAACAATATTGAGCAAAATAGACTGCCTCATTACAGAATAGCTTTAATAGTATATCCACAGTCAATATTTCACCACAATGTATGTAGGCCATCAAAACCTGGGTAGGTACATATATATGTATGTATTTGTGTCTTCAAGTCAATATTGACTCCTGGCAGTTGTCTGGACTGCAGTTTTGCAGCAAAAAATTTTCAGAAATCGTTTGCCATTTCTTTGGCAATACCTACATGTTGGTTGAATCCCCCAATGGAACAATATCCCCACCTGTTCTCTAATGTTTGAGAATTGGTAGTACGCGCAGAGCAGAGCAGTCCTGTATGAGGAACTAGAGGAAATGTTACATCAAATAGAAATCTGCTCTGAGAGAATGGAACCTTCTATGCCTGGAATGCATTTTAATGTTATTTTTTTAAAACCCCAAAACGTTTTGTTTGAAGCATACACATTTGAATATGCTGCTTTGAGGGCAATGTTAAAAGATCAAACGCTATGCTGGCAATATTAACTGCAGGAAAAGCCGGGAAACTAGCAACCACCAGACACCTCACCCCAGTGTGTATTTCCAGAGTAGACCAGGTCAACAAGATCGGCCTGAAAGCAGGCAGGACGTAACAGGACAGGGAATCTTGCCAAGACAAGTGAACCAGCAGGAAGAACGGGATGGGACAAGGAGGCAGGTTGAAAACGAAGCGCCCCGTCTTAGACACACACAGCCTGCTGCGAAAAGGGAGGGGGGTGTCTTCAGTCTCTCAATTACCTTAGCCATTCCTTCTTGTGCTTCGGCATCACCCGAGTAAGATCTAGCAAAGATCTCCCCACCCCCAACCTCCCCATCTCCAATGCACGTGTATCCCATTTGCTTCGCTCCTCTTCCCCCCCCCCCCCCCCCCCCACCAATCCTCACTCACTTTTTATTGTAAAGCTCCTCCAGCCGGTGCCAAACGGCAGCCTGACCAGGCCCCGAGCTCTGGCTCTGCTGTAGGAAAGCTGGGACGTCCTTCATGGTAGGACCGGGAGGGGACCAGCACGGAAAGAACCGCCGTTCACTCTGAAAAGCAACGGAGACCGGCCCTTTTCGGCGCCGGAAATGCACACTCACTTCCGGCACCTTCAACGCGGAGCATGCCGGGTACCGTATGGCCCTGCGTAGGGTAGCCTCGCTTCAACGTTCCGCCCCCGAAGAAAGATTGGTTGGTCTCTGTGTGGGAGGGTTCTGGAGCTGCCTTTTTTCGCTCGGGCGTCCCCTGCCGGCCAGCTTGCGAAGTGATAAGAAAGTGCAGTTGGTTAGCATTGGGCAGCTGCCAGGTGGGAACGCGCCGTCGTTTCATTCCTTTCTGTCGCGCGTCGTATCGCAAGGATAGCAAGACGTAGGAAGATTCATTATTGTTGCTGCCTAGGTGCGCTGACGTTACTACAGGCTCTCTTGTAGGGGCCCAGGACTCGCGGCCCTTGCTGGCCATAGATCTTAGGTTCACTCGTAGCGGAATCAGTAAATGGGCTGCCCTCCAATAAAGCGCTTTGCTGTTTCCTCTACATTCGGGCTTATCTTAGCATTGAGAAAATTAGAAAAAGTTAATGTTAGGAAAGACATTTATTTTATTTTTATTTATTTTATTTTGTCAAGCGATTATAGGATAACTGGTATAAGTATAAACATAATTATGAATACATGAAATTGATACGAATAAGAAGAAAAAAGAAACAATAGGACAGGGACGGTAGGCACGTTGGTGCACTTATGCACGCCCACTACAGACCTCTTAGGAAAGGGGTGAGGTCAATAGTAGATAGTCTAAGGTTAAAGTTTTTGGGGTTTGGGGAAGAAACCACAGAGTCAGGTAGAGTATTCCAGACATTGACCACTCTGTTGCTGAAATCGTATTTCCTGCAATCAAGTTTTTGCGGTTAACCTTGAGTTTGTATCTATTGTTTGCTCTAGTGTTGTTATGGTTGAAGCTGAAGTATCCATTGACAGGTAGGACATTACAGTGTATAATTTTATGCACGGATCAGACCGAAGGCGGCGTAGTTCTAGGTTGTCTAGGTCTAGAATTTCAAATCTGGTGGCATAAGGTATTCTGCAATGAGTAGAGGAGTGGAGAACTCTTGTGAAATATTTCTAGACTTCTATATTTCTGGACATTCCTATTCCTTTCTGTGTAGTTTTGGAAAAAGCAGGTGGCCCTTGCATTTTGAAATAGTTTTGGAAAGGATTTATGTTTTGCTTTTAAAAAAAATGCATGTGAGGAAAAGTAGGAGAGAGATTTTTAATTTTTTGTTGAAGTTTTTTTTGCAGAATAAAACAATGCAAATTTAAAGAAGGAAAAGTGGGGGGAAGTGATAAAGAAAAAAGGAAACAAAAAGATACAAAGAAGCCTCTTCTGCTCCTCACAGCAGTTATAAACTTATTTATATTTTTCTTTTCTATAGATATTGCTTCCTTCTTTCCATATTCTATCCTTTATAATCGTCAAACCCATAAATCACAAGTTCATTTTTGTTCTGTTTTCAGCTTAATGTCCTAACAGGATTCCAATCACTGACAAATGTAATTGTTGCCTTTTCCCTAATCAAACAACTCATTTTTTGCCATTTCTACAAATTCTGTCATCTTCACCAACCTATTCACCAACCTCTATTGTGTGTATTTCAGAGTGTTTCCATCTTTGTGCATGTAATGATGTTGCTGTAGATGAAAAGTAAGATGATTTTGACTGGCAGAGAGTATAGAGAATCAAGGCCCTCCAATTTGTTTTATTAGCCAATCTTATAGGTGCGCCCCTGTACCTAAGGCAGTGTTCTTCAAACTTGCAACTTTAAAATTGATGAACTTCAACTCCCAGAATTCCACAGCAGCATTTTAAAGTTGCCAAGTTTGGGGGGTGGGAATAACCCAAGGAATATTTATGACAATTTTGTTTATGCAACTGTGTTGATAATTTTATTAACATCTGCATTTGGGGGAGAAATTTTGTTTCCAGAGATTGGGCCTTCCACTTTACTGAGTTAGTGCTATCCATCCATCCTTAAGCTGGCAGAAAAATAAGCCTGCATGGAATTTGCTATCCCTATTGCCAATCCCAGTTTCTGCCAGTCACCTGTCTTGCTTCCAAACCTGTTTTAAATGCCTTGATGCTGCCTTTGGGTGGTATTGGAATAAGAAGAGAAATGTTCCTTTTGACAATGGAACAGTTTAGGAAATTTTAAAACTATGTCACGGTTTCTCCTAGTTTCGGTAGTTGAAAAAGGGGATATAGTTTTAGTCATGTAGGTTTCAGTGACTCTTGTCTAAGTAAAACTGATTAGAATTCATCCTGTATTTTTTTAATAGAAATGTAGCCACTTGTTAAATTATTTAAAATTTTGCTTTTAAGTTTGTGGTGCTTTGTCAAAAAATCTGATGGTTGCAGAATCATATAATGGCTAACACTGGAAATTTAACTTAAAGTTCCAACCAGCAATATATAGTTAATTATAACTATACTTAGAGATATTTCCTATTTTCCCTAGTGTTTGCTGTATTATATGTATTTGGTTGGTTTTCCATTTTTTTTCTTCCTTGTTCAAAATTAAATAGAAAAGATGACCATGAACTTTACTAAAGGAACAAATATACTCCTTTATATATGAAGAAGGAGATAATAGCCAATAACATTTTATATCATCTGAGCATTAGCAGAATATTTTATGTTTTGCCTCATAAGCTTCCATTTTCCTAACTATAGCAAGGTAGAACAATCCCAATTTTCTTGTGACTTAAGTCATGCTAAGACTTTTATTATTAAACGCTATTAACATGTATTTGTATAATGCAAACTATATGTATCATATTCCAGCAAATGGCAGAACATTTCAGTTACTAATTCCCTCAGATAACACAAACATCTGCTTAGTTTTTAACATTACATTTACCCCCTTTTGTAGCTGTGCTTTCATATTGTACAACTTCTACCATTTCTACTGAATGGTTGATTAGCATTGTCAGCTGTAATGAAAATGATTGGTAGCAAGTGACTGTTAGTAACACCAACAAAAGATGATTAGTAGTGAAGGCAGTGTTGATAACAGATAATACATGATTTAGCTGATTTTTTTACTCAATCACAATTTTTGGATTCTTATTATTAGTTAATCATGCATTCATTCTTATGTTTTATATCAGGGCTGTCAAACTTGTGGCCTGCAAGCTTGATGCGTCACACACTGCCCATGCCAAGTTTAGCGAAGAGGGGAAAAGTCCTGATACATCACGTGACACTGCTGTGGCGACACAAGTTTGACACCCCTGTTTTATATATCCTTTATGTAAGTTTTTAAAATATTTTTGTTTTCAAAATTATTAACTGTTTGTAGTTTAGTTTGTAGTCTACCCTTTCTATTAAGACTGTAATAAAGATTTGAAAAGAAAGCTGTAATCACATTAAGACTTAGCTTAGTGAGTATATTTAAACTAAAATTTTGAGGCTTATATAAGATCTTCTGGTTCAGAATCAAAATTAATTTCATATGTCACAAAAACAATGTTCTGCAATAAATCAACATTTAAAAGGAACCATACATGAGAAGCAGTGTTGTGTTTTCTTCCTCAGTTCTCATGTGGTGATGGGATTCAGCATGTGCCAAGTGATAAAGAGCTTTATAGGCGAAGACTAGCTCTTTAAATTTTATGTGGGAGCCTACTAAAGCCAATGCTGTTTTTATGCACTTTGCATTGTTCTTTGTTTTTAAATGTTTAACATTTATAAACTGCCCAGTCACTGGAATTTAGGTGACTTATAAACAATAAGTTATTATTTCATGCTTATAGCACTGCTGTTATATGGCACTGATGGCTCTCACCTACCAGCAAGTGAACTGTTGTGTTTTGAACTAACTTAGCTTGCTTGTATTTTTCATAGGTAGCTCCATGTAAAGTAAATGATTGAAGCAAGAGGTGTGCTTTGGGAGAAAAAGTGAAATCTCCTTTGGATTGAGCTCAATTCCTGGTGATTTCATGGGAAAAGTCGTGCAGTTTGTTTAGCAACATATAGATACGGACTGGCTGGATGCCATTTTTTTACATTCTCCCCTTGGTTAGATAAAGGAAACTGGCTGATTCATGTTAGTTTTTTAGCATGGCAAGATTGACTGCAGTGAGAAAAAAATAGGGGTGGATTTGAAGATGTTTCTGATGATTTGGGGAATGAAAGCAGGAGCCTTTTGAGAAAGCTTACATTCAGCAAGATCTACTTCAAAACGTATCTTCTACTCCAACCCTCACTATTGCTTTGCTTTACCTGTAGCAGGTCCTTCGCCTTGAAAGGAAAATGATGGGGCACAAGCAAAGCAGAGCAATGCCCATTCTGCAGGTTTTCACATTGGCAAGAAGGGAAGCTATAACTATGTCAGAGCTGTTTTTTGACATAGGTGCGTTTCATTCCTTTCTCATTTTTTCAGAGGTTTAGTAAGAGGATAGTAGTAGAATTAATCACATTATTACAATATACTCAAACACCGATAAAATAGTCTGTCATTGGTCCTTCTATTAGGAACATTGTGGTAAAGGTCCTTCTGTTGTGCTTCCTGGCTCAAGATAATTGAAAGCAAATAGAGCAGTGCTGCTTTGCCCTATGTCCTAAATTAGTTTTTAGATCACAGTTGCTGGCTAAATAATACCAAGCTTTTATCAGCCCTTACAAAAGCAATACTTAAAAAAAAAAATCACTTGTCTTGGTTTTTCTGATTTAGGACTTGGCCACTGAAGGGAAATGAACTGGAGGTTGCATTTCAGAGTCTCTGAAAGGAAAACCCTGCTTCAGATTGCCAGTTTACAGAGATTAATTGGTAAGTCTCGGTCTGTTTCAGGTAGCTTGCTTGATCTGAGAAAAGCATATCAGGGTTTTAAAAGTATGGAAATTTGTGACAGTAGGTGGACAAATATATGGGAGTTAATATATTATGAACAACAAAGGGAAAAGCTGAATATGGGAAACAGTGCTGTTGAGATCCTCATGTAGTCACTAGGAATAAAGCTCAATTTACTTATTTTAACATTTTATTGCATAAATTGTAAGCAAATGCAATATATGTAATAGCAATATATAATAAAGATAAAACTACTCCCACACAGGAAGTATTAACCATGTAAAATTTTGTTTTGCTGAGCTAAATTATTTGTCGTTCTTCTTCAAAATGATTCTTCACTTTCAATATTTTCTCCAAAAATGTTTTTTAATTATTTTTAGGATGGAAGTCTCTGGATTTCTGGATGTATGCCCAGCATCAGCATTTTAGAAATTCTTCCAGTCTGACAGCCTGCAAAAATCTTCCCTTAATTCCATTAAGATCTGTCCTTTGCTTTCCTCATGGAAAACATTTGCTGCAGAAGACTTCAGAAAGTAGCTTTAAAAATACAACAGACTTGTCTGGGATAAGGTATCCTTTATGTAAATATTCTTTAACTTGAAATTCTATTAAATCTTATTTAACAGTAAGGCTCATTAAAACTCAAGAGATTTTTGACTGTTTGTTGTGAGCCTATAATAAGCTACCTTTCAGGTTCAAAGTTCTCATTCTCATAATAGTTCTATTGCTGGCAGAAGGAAAGGATCCAGAGGACACCGCGTCTGTTTGGTATTACATTAGAAAGCATATAAAAGGCTATTCTCTGCATAAAATGATATATATTTTAAAATGTCATTAACTTAATATAAAATATTTTTCAGTATTCCAATCCATAGGTTATAATACAACGTACAGTTATCAGGCATACAATTTAAAAAGAGTATTTAATAAAATTTAAAAAAAATTAAGCTAATATAAAAATATTTTTGTTACAAGGACAAAATCATCCCCATGTAATGCTACTGTGGAGGAAATGTTTATGATGTTGGGTTGCATTTAATCTATGGAGTATTTTTCAGAGCTGTCTGTGTTTTTCATAAGAATTCAGTTTTATGGGGATCAGGGTAGAATCCTTTTTCAGAACAGGTTCTGTTCTGTACTGTACATTTGCATTCTTGTAAATAACCGTTCTGATTGGCTAGAACGCACGGCGACCCGATTGGCCGAGCGAGCCGCACTGATTGGCCCACTGTGGATCACCCGCGATTGGAGGAATCCGATTGCGGGAGATTCAAGGCGATGCCATTGGCCGCGGCTCGGCCGGCAAGTTCAATATAAGCCGCCACACACCCTAGCCAAGCTAAGCCGATCTCGAACTGAATAAAGAGTTGAAAGTCACGAAGCCTTGCGTCCTCCTTTCCGATCGGCGAACTTAACACTGGCGACGAGGATGGGATCGCGAAACTGATCCCCACCGAGCACGTGGCACCAAGATAGAGGCATCCAGCAAGATGGCCAGCATCGCGCCACCCGCCCCCTTCAACCAAGCTACTGAGGACTGGGAATCATACATAGACCGATTCCTGATGTTCCTGGAAAGTAGCAACCTCAAGGACGCAAATGGGCAGAAAAAAAGAGCTGTTTTGCTGACACACTGCGGGCCCGCAGTGTTTAAAATGGCAAAAGCCCTTGCGAAACCCGAAAACGTTAAGGCAACGGACTGGGCCGACCTTGAGCCTCTGCTACGAAGCCACTATGCCCCCGCCGTACCCACCCTCATCAGGCGGCACAACTTCTACCGCCGAGACCAGAGAGAGGGTGAGAGCATCGGCGATTTCGTAGCGGATCTACGGAACCTAGGGGGCATGTGCGGCTTCACGGACATGGACGAGGCACTACGAGACCGCGTTGTCCTCGGACTCAAGGACCCCGTCCTACAGAGCCGGCTGATGGCAAGGGGCGACATCTCCCTCGCAGACGCCCTTGCCGAGACAACCGCAGCTGAGGCAACCCGGAAGTCCGCAGCCCGAATGCGACGAACCGACGGGACAGATCGGCCCGTAACCACTGAGACGAACCAAACACCAGGAAACCCCCAGGAGACCACCCGCCGAGCGACCACCATCACCCATCATGGCGACCTCGACTCCCTCTCCGACACCACCGATGGAGAGGAAGATATCCACAGGCTCCAAGCAGAAAGGGACCGGCGCGAGCGACGGAGTCGTAAGTCGGGGCTACAATGCGCTGGGTGCGGGGGTGACCATCCTCGGGCAGACTGCTATTTCTTTGATGCGATCTGCCGCCATTGCGACAAGAAGGGGCACATCGCTCGAGTCTGCCGTTTCAAGCGAAACTACAGCCCCCGACCACACAGCAGCAGCCAAAGGCAAGATCGCACACACACACACCCCCAGACAAGAGACCGCCAGGCCAAGAGCCGGTGGAGCCGAGAGGGACGGAGCCGACGGAACGACGAGGACCGACAAAGAGAAGAGACCCATCAGACGGTCATCATCGGCCATTCGTCTAGCTGGGATGCCCGCAAGGTACACGTGGAGGTGGGCATCGAAGGCCAACCATGCAAAATGGAGGTGGACTCCAGGTCCTACCTCTCCATGGTTGCATGGCGGGAAATCAAGCGCCTGGTGCCCAGCATCCACAAAAAGGGACTAGAAAGCCAAAAGCTAATTCTAAAGGACTACTAAGGGAACCGCATCCCCATAGTCGGCACCAGACAATTTAAAATCACATTCAAAGGGCGAACAGCAACACTTCCCCTAACTATCGTGGTCTGAGACCGACCCAGACTTTTGGGACTACAGTGGTTCGCACCGCTTGGAATCGGGGTGACGGGCATCGATCACATCACCGAAGCAGACTGGGAGGAACAACTCGCGAAGGCCTTCCAGGAGGTTTTCGACAGCAGCCTAGGCAAATACCGTGGGCCCCCTATTTCTTTCAGCCTAGATCCCAGCATTCCCCCGATCCGCCTTAAGCCACGGCGTGTGCCTTTCGCACTCAGACCTAAGATCAATGAGCAAATAGACAAGCTCATCAAACAGGGAGTGCTAGAACCGATCGACCACGCCAGATGGGAGACCCCCATAGTCACCCCGGTAAAGCCCGATGGGTCGGTGAGAATCTGCGGGGACTATAAGGCCACCCTAAACTGCGCCCTACAGCAAAGCGCCTACCCCGTCCCGGTAGTACAGCACCTTCTGCACTCACTGGGAGGGGGGGGGCAAGGTCTTCGCAAAGCTCGACCTGGCACAAGCCTACCAGCAGCTGCCGGTCGACGCAGAAACCGCCGAGGCGTAAACCATAGTGACACACCGGGGGGCTTTCCGCTGCAAGAGACTCCAGTTCGGGGTCAGCGTGGCACCGGGAATTTTCCAGAGCCTAATGGAAAGGTTACTACAAGGCATCAAGGGGGTGGTGCCCTATTTTGATGACGTGCTGGTATCAGCGGCAAACACGAAACAATTAGAAAGCCGACTAAGGGAGGTATTACAAAAATTCAAAGACTCGGGGCTGAAAGTCAAAAAAGAAAAATGCCAGCTGTGCACCGAAAAAGTCGAATTCCTAGGGTACCTCCTAGACCAGCACGGAATCCACCCCACAGAGAAAAAAATCAGGGCCATCAAAGAAGCCCCCAGACCGAATAACAAAACCGAACTGCAGGCGTTTCTCGGGCTGATTAACTTCTATAATGTTTTCCTGCCCCAAAAGGCGACGGCGGCAGAACCTTTGCATAGGCTACTCGACAAAACAGCCATTTGGAACTGGGGAAGGCGAGAGGAAAACGCATTCAACCGGACGAAAGACCTACTCACATCAGACGCTGTCCTCATTCAATACAGCGAGACCCTACCACTAGTGGTCACATGCGACGCATCACCTTTCGGCGTCGGAGCCGTCCTCAGCCACACTCTCCCGGACGGAAAAGAGGCACCCATCGCCTTCTTTTCAAGAACCCTCTCAAAACCAGAAAGGAATTACAGCCAGCTAGATAAGGAGGCCCTGGCAATCGTCGCCGCCGTAAAGAGGTTCCACGAGTACCTCTATGGCAGGACCTTCACCATCATCACCGATCACAACCCGCTGCTGGGAATCCTGGCAGGGAACAAGGCCACCCCGAACATTCTATCCCCAAGGATGACAAGGTGGTCCGAATTCCTCACCGCCTACAGCTACCGGCTGACCCACCGACCCGGTAAGACTATTGCCCACGCAGACGCCTTGAGCCGCACGCCGCTACCCGACCTGGACACTGACCCAGCACCCACAACGTCCACCCTGAGCATAGAAACTCTACCTAATCTCCCTGTAACCGCGTCAGACATTGCCCGCGAAACCAATAAAGACAAACGTCTGGCGCGGGTTTTGCATTGGGTGGAGAAAGGGTGGCCGGAAACAGACGACGACGGACAATTCAGGTCATTTCGGAACCGGCAAACAGAACTGTCCATACAAAAGGGTTGTTTACTATGGGGGGATAGGGTTGTCATCCCGGAAAAATTACAAAAAAAGTGTCTTAGAGCTATTGCATGAGGGGCACCCGGGCATCGTTAAGACTAAAGCCCTGGCCAGGAGTTACGCCTGGTGGCCAGGGATGGACAAACAGATCGAGGCTTGGGTGGCAACATGCAGACCATGCCAAGAATCCAGGCCAAGCCCCCCCACCGCCCCAATCCAGGAATGGGAGACCCCCAGGGGGCCATGGTCCAGGATTCATATAGACTTCGCCGGACCTACGAAGGGACACACTTTCCTCATCATGGTAGATGCTTACTCCAACTGGTTGGAGGTAAGCAACATGAGAACCACCACCACGGAGGCCGTTACCAGAGAACTCAACAGACTATTTGCAACCCACGGCCTCCCCGACGTCATTGTATCCAATAATGGGCCCCAATTTACCTCGCTGGAATTCGAAAAATTCCTAGCGGAACGGGGGATATGGCATGCGCTGACAGCGCCAGCACATCCGGTGGCGAATGGGAGGGCGGAACGAATGGTACAATTTACAAAAAAAAAACAATCCAGAAAATAGAAACCGGAGAAATACAGGAAAAAATTAATAAAATGCTATTTATACAACACATAACGCCAAACACGACAACCAACAAAAGCCTGGCAGAACTACTAATGGGGAGAAAATTGAGGTTCCCACTAGACAGACTACACCCCACATACAACCCGGAAAAACCCCCCGACTCATCCAGCAAGCACCGGGCATTCATACCAGGTGACGCAGTATACGCAAAAAACCTCACAGGGGACCCACTCTGGGTACCAGCAACAATAACCCAGGTGACAGGTCCCCGCTTGTACCGACTGCAAACAACCGACGGACGAGCATGGAAAAGACACATCGATCAGTTAAGATCGAGAACCAACACGAGAAACCGACACGCAAGCATACACAGAAAAAGGTGCTACAGGGGGAAGGGAAAACCCCAACACCAACCAAGAGGGGAGGGAAAACCCCGGAAATCAAGACAAACAACCCCAACAGGAAAGAAACCAAGAATACTCACCAACCAGAACAGAAGCAGACAAACAACCCGAAGCCTCGCCAGGGAGAAACAGCCAAGCCAGCTCAACCAGCCCGGAAAGACCAGGCGGGAGCGACAAAGGCCGCAGCTCGACCAACCCGAGTAGACCGGGAGGGAGCTACAACGAAAGGCCCGGCTCACCCTTCCAGGCGGTTCCATCAATGAGGCAGGGAGCGACACAGAACCCGACCGAACCGTTCGAAGACCAGACAACAACTAACCTGCGCAGGTCCAGTAGGCAAGTACGGAGCCCCGCCTACTTACGGGACTACGTCACGTAGGACCATACCAAGAGGGGAGGAGTGTTCTGTACTGTACATTTGCATTCTTGTAAATAACCGTTCTGATTGGCTAGAACGCACGGCGACCCGATTGGCCGAGCGAGCCGCACTGATTGGCCTGCTGTGGATCACCCGCGATTGGAGGAATCCGATCGCGGGAGATTCAAGGCGATGCCATTGGCCGCGGCTCGGCCGGCAAGTTCAATATAAGCCGCCGCACACCCTAGCCAAGCTAAGCCGATCTCGAACTGAATAAAGAGTTGAAAGTCACGAAGCCTTGCGTCCTCCTTTCCGATCGGCGAACTTAACAGGTTCTAAATATTTGGCAAGTACAGCAAAACAAGTTGGAGTTGGTCAGGAGAAGTTTTAGGAGAATGGCTGTCATATTTGTCCAATACCACTTCTTGCATCTGAAATTGTGTTAATACTAATTGGAGGGAAGTTACAGTAATATATTTCAGATGTTGCCTCCATTCAACTAAGTATTTTCATACTGCATATCAAGACCCAATTTTGTTAGCAATTAAACTTTAATCAGCTTTAATCATGCAGATACAGTATATATAAAATACTCTGCTGTTGAAACATCCCCAAATGTAAAAAAAAATCTTGGTGAATACCACGTTTTACATAATATGTCAAAAGTGCTTCTTTGTGTAAAACATAGGAACTAGCAAACTTATACAAGAAACGATGCCATTCATGGTCTGTTTTGGCCTTAACTTTAAATGGAATTATCTAATATTCATTCTCCATTGAACCTAACTATAGTGAAAATATGCCCAATACGTTAATTTTTTTTCTACTATATCCCAATGGTGTTGCCTTCAGCTTGACTTAAGTCCATGAATGAGAAAGTCCTAAGTCATCCTTGGCTGAACTGGTATTGTTTTTCACTTTACCTGGGCATGGTCCGAGGACAATCTGTATAAAATTTCATCTTTTATCAAGGAAGTCAAGTGATTGCAATTATTTGAATGAGAGACAACAGGAACTGACAATGGGAACAGAAAGCTGTATGCTAGTAGAGTTTCTTTGTCTGCTAAAGGCTGGGTGGAGATTCTTCAATGCCACATCAAGGGAAAAGGAAAAGCTCACGCTGATCCTTTTCTGAATGTATTAGATAACAATCCATGGATGGGTATTTCCTGTAAATCATAGATTGGACTGGAATATTGGTTATTTTTTCCTTTATAAGTGTGATTCTTTATCATCTAAAGCATGCTTACTTATTACGTTGCCTGCAGGATCCAGGGAATAAGGTTATTGTCCCTATCCACATTCTCAAGAGTGTTTTTTGGAATTGGCCAAGGAGGAAATAACAGTGGAAATAAGAAGCTCAGCCTAAGAGATGTGATGGAACGCATCCAGAAGAAAGAATGCCATAGGATAGTAGTGATGGCTGGAGCAGGACTCAGTACCCCGAGTGGGATTCCAGATTTCAGGTACTGTGTGGAGCTACTCATATGCCTTTGCCAGCTTTAACCAAATAAGCATTCATGTCAGCAAAACACAAGAATGGTCATCCATGAAACCTGTTTGCAGTAGGTGTCACACTGTCACATAGCTTTTATCATGTGTTAAATAACAGCGGCTCAAATAGGGTATTTTGGGGGGGGGATGACTGTAGGGAAATGTCAGTGTTATTTTTCTGCTTCTCCCAACACAGAGCCTTGTTTCCTCTTTTAATTAGTAGTGCAACAACTCTTCACAAAAAAGGGCTACATGAACTGTCGTACCTTCAAGAGTTTCTTTGGAGGTCTTCAAGAACGATTGTATTGCCAACAATAATATTAGTATTATTGGCCAAGAGTCATTTGGCCTTTTACTTTCCTTTTTCTCATTTGATCTTGCTGTTCTAAGACATTAACACACTTCTTATTTATTTTAGCGTTCAATCAGATTTGATTCCTGGTTATGTGGTTATTTCAGGAACTTTTTCAGAACTGGTTTGGCATTGCCATTTTCTTAAGGTTGAGAGGAGTGACTGGCCCAAGGTTACCCAGCTGGCTTTCCATGCTTAGATCAAGACTAAAACTCATGTTTCCCTATTCGTGATCGAACACTTTATCCACCAGATCAAACTGATCTGAATTTATAAATTGGTTGCAAATGAAAAATCCACTTATTTTATAGTTGGTCCTCACCAATAGTAATTGGGACAGGAACTCGGTTGCTAAATGACATGGTTGTAAAGCGCAATGTCACATAATTGTGCTGATTTACAATGGCAGTTCCAGCAGTCATTGTCATTAGGTGAATCATACATGGTCTTAGCATCTGACGATAACGGCCTCTTGCTGGTTTCCTCAATGACTTTGCTTACGGAAGCCATCAGTGAAGGTTTCAAACTACAATTATTTGACCATGAGATGCTGCACTTATATGTGCAAGCTGGTTGCCAAGCACTTGAATTGCAACCGTGTGTAGGAATGTTGCAACAGCTGCAACTAAAGGACCCATCGTAAGTACCCCTTGTTCAGACTCACTGTAATTTTAAGCAATTGCTGAGCAAGTGGATGTTACACAAGGATTACCTGTATATGAATTCATTTTACTTGGTAGGTCAGTCATTTCTGTATTGTCTCAGGTGATTCTATTGGAATGTCGTGTTCCCTGTTGCACTTAGTAGTTTGTGGACAGCAGCAGAAACCAATTCAATATCTGCTGCCACTGTCTTAAAGTTGGGTGAAGTGGGTTCTTCCTTATCCAACCTATCCCATGCTCATTAAAACCCACATACATGCAAGGTAAATCATGTCTGGGAGAGGTAGATCTATTAGGTTCAACAGATGTTCTGTATTTTGTGGTGACTTCTTGGGATAATTGTTTTCCTTGTCAAAATACTTGTAACTTGGAACATTCTGGGTGTAATTGTTTTGTTTTGAGTGAAAAGTAAAATGCATTTACCACTTTCCTTTCCTTAGAATTCTAATCATGTTGATTTCTTGGATTAGATATTTCAGTACTGTACCTAGGGATTTCCTTTGTTAAGGCTTTCAACTGCCAATTTGTGGATCCCCCTCATACGTTCATTGGGTTGAACAATGACTAAGAAGTTAGGCAGACATTGCATGCATTGACAAATGTATGGGAGTAATTGCCTTTGATTAAATCAGTGATATCAACTGCAGTTAGTATCCAAATATAGATTTGGATTTCACATATAGAGAAAACAGTATACGTGAGCTCTTCTGGAACAATAATTGTTCCCACGCTGGGTACTTCCTCTTGTCCAGTTGGTAGTCCTGTAATGTATGATAGACTTTGTCCTGATACATCATCTTAAAAAACCAGCTTTCTAACTTGGGGGAAAGTGTTCCTAATCCAGTACTTGCCTTTATTTATGTGAGGCACTTTTTTAAAAAAAAAACGTATCCCATACAAATAGTGAACCATAAGATAGGGATCCCTTGAATGGATTTGGTTTCCCGGCCTGTCATTATTCTAATTTTACTCTACTATTCTTTTTGCAGGTCTCCTGGGAGTGGGCTATACAGTAACCTTCAGCAGTATAATATTCCGTACCCTGAAGCCATATTTGAACTTAGCTACTTTTTCCAGAATCCCAAGCCTTTCTTCAGGTTAGCTAAGGAGTTGTACCCTGGCAATTACAGACCAAACTATGCCCATTATTTTCTTCGACTTCTGTTTGACAAAGGGCTCCTTCTGCGCCTCTACACACAAAATATTGATGGGCTGGAGAGAGGTGAGCCTCTTGCCACTGGCTCTGAGAAGATAGATTGAAAGCAAATTATACAACAATAATATTTGTTGTGGTGATGGTGATGATGAGGGATCATCCATTTTAAATATCTTTGAGTTGGTGAAGAGTTTGACCAAATCTGATCTTTCAGTCTTGTGTGTTCTAGTTGCTGGGATTCCTCCAGATAAATTAGTTGAAGCTCACGGCACATTTGCTTCTGCTACATGTACTGTCTGTCGAAGATCATATTCAGGAGAGGATTTCAGGGTAAGCTACAGCGCAGCAGGAATAGTACAAGTATTTACATATATTTTTAATGCAAATGTACAGTCAGCCTGTTTCTGTTGATTCCAGGCTTCCAGAAAGGTAACATTCCAATCCTTGAAATCCTTGTCCTACTCGAACACCAGCCAGTCGAGATATCTATTCCTCATCTTTACTCTCACTTCACAGGCAGCATCTCTCTTACTCCACATCTCTCATGAGACAATCCAAGATCATTTCTCACGTAACAGTGAAGTCAGCAGAGTGATTTCTCCAAAATGCAAAGCAGGCATGAATAAGGATAAAGACAACCAGCCAGTAATGCTTCTCCTATTCTCAGCTTTTCCTGGCTGCTCCTATTCATAGGATAGGCCTCCTTCCACTGGCCGGGCTAAGAAATGACAGTAGCTGCCTACTCACTGGCTCCTCTTTTCAGATGGATCCACGTATTTCAACTGGATCCTAGATCTTTGCTTCAGCAAAGGATTGCCCTTGCTTTTATTGCAATTTTAGTGTGCGCTGTCCTCAGTTGTGATGTCAATCTTGTGGCTTATACTGCCTGATTAGGAACTTATATCCCTATTATCTGATTTCATTTCAGGGGGATGTGATGACTGACAAAATTCCCAAATGCCCTGTTTGCACTGGAGTGGTCAAGCCTGACATTATATTCTTTGGAGAAGAGCTCCCTCATCGCTTCTTCTTGCATTTGACAGACTTTCCTATGGCAGACCTGCTTTTTATCGTTGGAACCTCCCTTGAGGTCTGGCTATCATGAACATGGGAAGAGAATAAGAGATGGGTTTTTAAGACAAAGTGATTCAGAGACTCTGGAGAACAGAGAAAAAGTCATGAGAAGTCAGCGATCAACGAAAGAGATGGGCAGGGATTTCAGGGTTTTAAGTTCATTATATTGTAGAACAGGACTGTCCAATCTTGGCAAGTTTAAGACCTGTGGGCTTCAGCTCCCAGAATTCCCCAGCTGAACTCCACAAGTCTTAAAGTTGTCAAGGTTGGATACCCCTGCTGTAAAGCCAGGGGTGGGCTGCTGGGGATTCGCAGGGGTTCGGGAGATCCTAAGATTCTGCACACTTTGGAGAACCCCCAAATCCCATTCCTGGCTGGCCCCGCCTACCCCTCCCAGGAGTCCCTACGTGGCCTGTTTTCGATGCAGGTAAGTACAGAGCTCATGCGGAGGCTCGGGGAGGGTGAAAAATGGGCCTCCCGGAAGTTTGGGAAACCCGAAAATGGGCCTGTTTCTGGCTTCCAGAGAGCCTCCAGAGCCCTTCCCGGAGGCTTGACAAAAGCCTCCGGAACCTGGGGAGGACAAAATTGCCCCCCCCTCCCTGCCATGGTGCCAGAGGCAGACTAGGCCACACTCACCATGGCCACGCCCACCCAACAACCGGGCAGAGAACCCGTTGCTAACATTTTTGAAGCCCACCCCTGTATAAAGCCTTAAGAATTCATTATCTTCAGCTGTCTTCTCCCATAGGAATAATATTGCAGGCCTTGTTGCTAGAAGGTTTTGCTCAAATATCTTGTAAGGACTCTTAGAAAAATCAGCATATAAATCAAAGTATGGTCTCATCATCTTAAATATTGACAGTACCATTTTTTGTATCCTGTGATTTGTGCACGGTTCATCTTAGCACATATGGAGTGGGCAAATGCAGGAGACATTTGGTGTAAGCTTTCAGTTTAACATTTGAAGATCTATAACTATTTTCTTCTTAGAAATAAAACCCCCAAAGTGCAGCGATCTTTAGTTTGCAAGAGAGATGACTCCCTCCACTCTCCTTTCTAATGCTTTATTTTAGGTGGAGCCCTTTGCTAGTCTGGCAGGAGCTGTCCGTGGTTCTGTGCCTCGTGTTCTGATTAATCGAGACCTGGTGGGGCCATTTGCAGTCCGGTCACAGCACAATGATGTAGCTGAACTGGGAGATGTAATCAGTGGAGTGGAAAAAGTGGTAGAATTGTTAGGCTGGAAAGAGGAGCTACAGGAACTAATAAAAAAGGAAAAAGAAAAGGTATGTCATTTTTATTTGAAAACTTTGCCTCTCACGCTTTTTATTTTGCTGGTTGGAGTTATGAAAATGATACAATTAAGGATAAGACTTTAATTAATATAGACTACACAGTTGTTTTATCCATCAGACTATTTATCAATCATATAGATTTATTTTTCTTACATTTGTTATATCCACCCAATTCCATGGGATGCTATCACTTTCCATCTTGGTAACTAAAGGAAAATGTCTATGTAATCTGTCCCATGTGACAATTTGTTGCATTTTATGATTTATTTCAGTAACATTTTGCTTTCTCAGAGTGAAACTTAAGATTTGGAAACAATTCATAAAATTATAGTTTGGGTATTCCTTGCATTCAATGACCAAAGTTGCAATAGAAATGAATGGATGGTACTTATAGAACCATTCCTCTAATTTTCCTCTAATTTCCTGCCATCACAATGCCCTACAGCAGGGGTCTCCAACCTTGGCAACTTTAAGCCTGGCGGACTTCAACTCCCAGAATTCCCCAGCCAGCTTTGCTGGCTGGG